CTCCTCGCTTCTCTTTACCATTTTCATAATTTTCCCTTGTCCCCATCAGACTGCCTCCTTTACTTTCCGCTCTTTGACTCTCTTCCATCTCCTCCTTTTGTCCTTTGTTGTTTTCTCTTGTCTTAATATATCTACTTCTTTGCCGTCCTTTCCATTTTTCTCCTCTCTTGTTCACCCTTTCACTATTCTTCTATTCTTCCCTTTTATCACCCCCCACCTTCTCTTCTTTCTTCTTTTCTCTGCCTGTGTAATTACCATAGCGATACAGTGCCCATCTGGAGGACAACATGCTATTTACAGCGGACAGCAAAGACCATCTCAGCCTACACATTATGCCAAATAGTTTTTTTTTCACAAACAGATACACAAAGTTCATATGCAGACACGCATTAATGTGCATTCTCATATTCTTATACACATTATAACAGTTATGGAAAAGAACTTTAAAATTATCTTCATTAACATAACACACAATTAGCTGTTTAGCATAATCTTTGAAATATAAACAGCAATGTTCTTGTCACTCACTCAACAACTGTTCTGGAGCTTTCAGTCATATCACATGACCTTCATCAGCAGATAATAGTGAGATTGTTTCCTCCTTTACAAATCTTTATGTCAAAACTGCTGATAACTTGGATGAATGCTGCCACAAGTGGACTTAATAGCTTCCTTCAAAACCCCGAAAGGGATGAAGTGGACATAAAGGATACATAATTGAAGTGGGGACAGATTATTGGTCCTCATCAAACTGAATCTGAGAGTTCACTTTTACCCAAAACGACCTACTTTATATTTGTTTATGCTTCCTGTTGATTTGCACGTTCCTGAACTCTGTGGGCCACATTTCCTTTTTAGTCGTAGGTTTTCTTAGATTTTGTTGAAGAAAAAAAAATTAATTTACTTCCCTCCCTTAAGACATTAATTCTGGTAATATTCCCCACAGGAGCATTTTCCCTTGGGCGAGAGAAATTTCTCATCAGCAGAATCTAATACATCTCTTTAGGTTTAAAAAAAAGTGCTGTAATTCAAATAAAACTTTCAGAGAGAAATACTGTTTGTGTCATGTGTGGTTTTATAACTTCATGTCAGATTTGATCTACATTTCAGATCACTTTCAGACATGCTTTTGAAGCCTCGCCTTTTGGGATGGATGCTCTCATATGTGTGAGGTGACGTTTTAATGCTCATTGTTTTCCAGGATCTCTGTTAAAAGGTAGATTAGCTCCCCCTGTTGCTTGATGTACAAACTGTTCAGTTTACACAATATCACAACACAGACTAAATCTTAAAGGGATATTTTGTGAATTTAGTTTAATTGTGAAATCTAGATCTATAAAACTATGATTTAATGTGAGGATTGCATATGAGTGGATTGTATATGGACATAGATATGAAGTATTTAACAATCAGGTCGTCTTGTGTTTCATGTTCAGGTTCAGTCAAATCACTCTTAGACAGTTCAAACATCAAGTTCAAAATCCAAACTGGCAGGAGACATAAACAACTTTGGACATCTAATTTCCTAACGGCTCCACTTCATGACCATTTCCTGTAATTACAACTTAACCATAAACACAGAAAACTTCCTGTGGCCACTTAACACAAGAAGAATAAGTGCAACTTCTACCATAAATATTACTGTAATGTTATAATACTTTGATCAGACTGTAAAACAAGGCAGACCTTGTGGAAAAAATACATTAATACATTCCATGTCTGCAGATTATGTCAGAGCAGATCTAGGTGTGTAGTTGGAGTGGAGAGCACCACTGCAGGGTGAGATCTTGGCTAAAGCACTAAAGATGGCTGACAGGAAGTGGTTATAACCACTGAAACAATATATATGTGTATGAAGTCTCTCGCAACAGCCAATGTTGTCAGCAGGCAGAAAAAATATGACACTGACATTTAAGTAAAGCGCTGAGGACAACAAATAGCTGGTTAGCACTGTGGTGGAGATCTTATAACGCCTGTGAAAAGGTTTCATCTTCTCCCCTTAGGCCTTAAGCTTCAGTGTTCTACAACACTTAATCTAGAGAAGAAGCCACTTATCAAAGTGAAAACTAATTTACACGCAGCGATGTAAAGTGAGAACAAATATTAAATAGTGAATTATTAATTGCATATGAATTTCCCTTAGGGGATAAATAAAGTCTATAATCTATTCATTTAAATCTATTTATCTATCTATCTTTACAGGTAGAATTGTATTTTGATTACTGTAGATTTCTTTGGTTTCTTTGTCTTCATGATGCGCCTTTTGCCAAGGACTTGGATTACTAGTTACTGGGTGCAGCCTATTTAACATAAAATCACTTGCAACACCTTCATTACACAAATGAGATCTCCATTCAACATACCGTGTGACTTATAACAACTGGGTGCACCAGTGATGACTTAAGAGGGTCATATTGTATTTTACAACAAACTTCAGACTTGTCTTTTTTGATGATCAGTGGAAGGAAACAACAAGGAAAAACTATTAAAAAGGTTATGACCTAATAATGAACAACAAAAAAAGAAAATGTGTGGTATCCAGAGACACATGAGAAAGAGAAGGGGAAAGTTTTTGTGTGTAGGAGAGCAGGAAGCTGCTGCTGCTGCTTTATTAGTCATGTGGAGATGCTGTGTAGCCGGGAGCAACTAGTATACCTTGCAACACCAAAAGAAAAGAAATGAAAGACAGAGGCAGTTTAGGTCTGATGTCTCAGCTCTGACAGTTGCTTCACAAAAATGAACAGGAGTTTAATTTAGGCCTAAATGAATAAAACAGCATCATTGGGTTACATTGAGTTACATGTGTTCTCTCAGCGTCAAGATCCTGTGACCAGGTTTCCATTATCTGCTTTTATAAATCTGCCTTGTTGTACAGCTGTTGGGTTTGTAAAACTGTGGGGTTTGTCCTACCTGAGCGGGCTCCCCGCAGCCTGAACAGCACTCTGGAGCGAAATCCGGAGGTGTCACTGTGAGAGCGGAACCTGGGGAGAGGCCACAGCTGAAGAAAATGCCTCATCTCCGTGTAGGTATCCCCCTCCTCTTCCATGGTCGCTTCCTCTGTCAGCCCGCCGGGAGAGAGGTCGCAGATTCGCAGAGACGAGAGGACAGGAAACTTCACGAGCCTCAGCAGCAGTAGCAAGAGCAGGAGTCCGCCCCTCACCCTCACCCTAACCCTCCCCCCCTCCACCTCCACTCAAACTTTCCTCCTGCAGAAGATACTGACAGACCGTGTGTGAGTTGTCCCTGTGCTTGTTGACGCCCATCGAAACAGAGGTTACGTGTATGAGCTGAGTGACTACTAAGAGAGGGATGATGAAAGGTAGTGGTAGCTACATGCCAAGTATCTGACTGACTGCTAAACCTGTTCTTTTATTTCCTATGTCTGAGCTCAGTGCCACACTGCCAAATCCATTGCAGGATACTCGCATTAGAAATAGGCCTCATATAGCCTATTTATTAGCAGCTTATTCCTGCTAACTTGAATATAAGGTTTGCATAGACTGTATGCATAAATTTGTATCAAATTGTCCTTTAGTGTGATTTCTGTTCTATTTGAATGAAAATAAATATCTTTAATTTATCTTCAGGAAGCGAGGAGGTCTTTAGCTGTTCCCCAAGAAAATAAAACTTTTATTATTTGGACGCAGGGTGTTTGACTTTGACATTACATTTTCTGAAGGGATCCCAGTGGTTGAAATGAAAAAGAAAAACATGAAATCATGAAACCTGTAGCTCCAGTTTTGCTCAGTGGTGAACAGAATAGTCAGAGATGTTATGAACAGCCAGCAGTAGTCTACTGATTTTAGGTCTATTATGTAGATACACGTAACGCAACAAGGTTTGCTTGAAGGAAGTGTTTCTGTGTTGAATTGACAAAATAAATGTTACGCAATGACAAACTGTAACATCATGGGAAATAATAGACAAACCCAAGTGGCTGCAGCCTAGAAACGTTAGATGTCGCTAAATCACCACTGTGGTTTATTTATCCCGCTTTGACACCCACTGCTTGTCTCACACTTTACACCTAGATGTGATAAAAAAAAGTAAGAGCTCTCACTCTGATCTTCTTTCTGAGAACCAGATCTTGAAAACATTTTGCAGAGCAGTTTAAGGTTTGAATGGAGCAGATTACAGTAAATATGAGACAGTAGTTAACATGCAGGGTTATTATTTGTTTATTTATTTTAATATAGGCTAACAGGTTTCATCCAAACTAAATATTGGGCTTGTTTGTCATATAGCTTGCAACCACACTACCCATAGCAACAAAATCCTTGTTTTGTTTTCACTAGGCCGGTTATGTAAAGTGACATATTGAGTGGTGTGCAGAATATTATCTGTGATAAAGATTTATTAAGTCCTTTTATGTGGATGTTCTAATACCCTCCTGTCATTGGTTTGTGCCCTTTATAGTGGAGAGGGTCCTTAATCCTTAGCAGTAGAACAAGCTTGTCCATCTGTGTGTAAGGTTGAACATTGCAGTTGATAATCTGTTAATGTAATAATCTGATAATCTTCCCAGCGCTGTGTTTATATTATGTTGCCATATGTATAAACAATGTCTAAATTAGCCATACATCACACATAGTGCCTATTCAGAGTACTATTAATTCTGTTTAACATGCATGGACAATACAATCCTGCACCTTACTGTACAGCTGTAGGAATATCTACCTAACTTGCACTAATGTACAGTGTATTATAATATATTACTATCATGTACAGAGTATATTCAGCACATAGCATCTATCTATCTATCTATCTATCTATCTATCTATCTATCTATCTATCTATCTATCTATCTATCTTATTAAAAGTACTTATTTTATCTTTTAATTACTTTTTTGTCTATAAAGTTTGGAATAGCTACATTGTTACTTGTATGAATTCAAGCTTGTGATATCACAAAGGGGGTAGACTACTTTTCTTTTTTTCCTTTTTCCTTTTTTTTTTTTTTAAACCACACCGTGATCATCTTCATGATAGACGATCTGTGCAGTAGCAGCAGTGGAGCTCTCTGTCGTGGATCAGTGGAGATGGGCTGAGGCAGAGCACACAGACCCGACACCACCGACACCAACGGACCTTGACTTCAGCAGCCACAGAAGGGAAGACTCGGGTAAGCTGACCCGGGACGTTAAACGAAACTAGTTCACGCTAATAAACGTAGCCGTGTTGTTTCGTACAGTCAAAGTTGGCGGATAAATTTCTCGAGGGTGGCTAAGACGAGTCGCTAATGTTAGCTAGGTTAACGTTGGGTTAACGTGTGTGACAAAAGTTGTTTGTCAGAACGGCAGATGCAGTTAGCTAGTAAAGGTCCAAACATACAGGAATGACAGTTTCTAGTTTTTGGTAAATTAATATTATGATGTGTTGTCGAGTAGCCTTAATTGCTAAAAAGCTGGCTAACCTGAGCCATGTCTCCCAGTTAACTTCAGGCCAGCGAGCCAGAGTTACTGATGCTGCTAACACAAATGTTGTCAGCGTGTTGTGGTAATGTGAAGTTATTTCTGTGTTATCCTGCGTGAAGTTCAGAAAGCTTGTTGGCTATGTCGTTTGTTTTAGTGACTCGTGGCGGAGTCGGTGTTACAAGTTAGCAATTAGCAAGTGTGCATCTTCATTTTGTCCTGCTATGGAGATAAAAAAAAAAAACCCACACTAGCATATTGCTGTGGTAAATGGGACCCAGCCTGTCAAACCTGCTGGTCTTATGTGCTGCTTTCAGACCCTGACCAGAAATGACTCTTTTCTGCTGAACTGGAATGACCTGTCCCACCTTTGACCCGTGAGCAGCCAATTCAGCCCCAAGCCGTTCTCTTTACTGCCCTTGTTCCTCTGTACTTCAGTGTTTGTTCTTATAGATGATTTATTGCATTAGTCTTTCTGAAAGCCAATGTTAAACATCAGATCTGCTTGAACAAGGCTGAATCACCAACGGGCAGAATGGCCAACTGCACAGGGGCCTCAGACCCCCCCTCCACTCCCAGGTTTAGTCCATGTGTTATGGGTCTACACAATTAGATTAATTGAAAAGTTGTGTTTTATCATATTGCTATATTTTTTCTCTCTGTCAAGTGGTTAACACAGGAAAAAGACGAGCGAGGCTGGATTGGATTTCACTATCAGTAGATCTGACAGTTATTTTCTGTAACAATCAACTGATTGTTCGCTGGATAAAATGTCAGAAAATAGTGAAAAATGCCCATCATTATTCCCTGAAGCCCAAGTTAACCAACAGTCAACACAAGATGTTGAGTTTACTGTTCTGGAAAACTGAGACTAGAAAATATTAACATTTGAAAATCTGTTACCAGAGATTTGTTTTGGCATTTTTACTTAACAAATGTACTTAAACAGTTAATCAATTATCAGAATTGTTGCCAATTCATTTCTGTCTAATCAGCTATTTAATCTCTAGTGTAGTGTTTGGTTTCTGTGTAAGGCACACAGCCATGGATAGTGGGGTTCAACAGGCGCCCAGTAGCAAATTTTTTTGCCCCCTGGGAGTTTATCTCCATGTTCTCGACACCTAGATTAGTGATTTACTGTGTAGTTCATGTGTGGTGAGAAGAGGTACGCAGGCACAGTTACTGTCTCCAGCTGTTGTGTTACTTTCAATTGTATGGCAGTGGTGTAAGATCATGAAAGGAAAACAATGACCCTCTACTGGGCTATCCAGCTGTTGGCTTACTCTCGTTTTATGACTTGTCCTGTGTGACCAGTTGGTTGCCATGTGATGGTGGACAAAGCCTTCCAACAAATGTAAAGAGTGAGTATACCACGGGGAAATGTTTGACCTAGAAAGAAGTCAACGTATATCATACAGGCTCATCTGACCTTCTTCAGAGTTGGACCTTTAAACTTGCTCCTCTGTGCAGTCTTCTGGTTCTCACTTTGCATGTTTTCATTTATTTTGTGAGTGTACACCTTTTGCTTTCCCTCATTCACTGTAACCCAGTCTTTATATGGTCTCAAATGTATTACACAGGAAGCCCTGATCTGTTCTCCCATTTGTGAGCCCAGACAGAATGATTTTCATTTGTTCATGTACACTAGTATCCTGGTAATTGTCTGTTTTTAAATACCACAGTTATGTTTGCACACGTAAACCCAATATCCTGGCTTCAGAAATCCAATTATGCTAACACATCGTACAAACACCTTATGTTTTCTTATCATCCTATCATAGCCATCAGCCCAATGGATGGATTAAACAAGTAATAAGACTGTAAAATGAAAAAAAAAAGATGATAAAAAATCTAATGATGATGTATTCACTTAAGTCTGACACTGGTAATGCAGAGGATTAGAGTTAGGCTGATAAATTGGACAGGCTGATATATTGTCAATGTTACCTTGCTGCAGATATACTGATAAGACGACTAGGTTTGAGATAATTTAGAAACTGTGACACTGTTACATAGTTTGTCCTCCAGAGAGCACTGACCAGTTGATTTTTCGACTGTAAAATGTCCTGCTCAGACATAAAACAGATATGAGACCCGTATCAAGATTGTTGTTCAGATTTTTTTTAAACTTCCAAATATCCATATCATTCTAAATAATCCAGTATTGATCAGGCTGTGCAGAGGATAAACCTTATTGTGAATCTCTTTATTCATTACTAATGATAAGATGGAGAGCAAAATCTAGCACAGTGGTAAATGTAAAATGTCATAGCAGCTGGAAACCAAACCGGGTTCATTGCTAACTACTGGTGCAACTAAGCCAGTAGAGTAGTGACACAGATTGTTTGGATGTGCAGGATTCAAACACTTGCCTACACTGACTGGCGATCAGAAAAACCTGCATACTGCTGTGATTGTGTATACAGAAAATATTTAATAACCAGGTTTCTCATGTTCCCAATCAGCATAATAAGATGATCAACTGTGATACTAGTGTGCATGTAAACCTGCTTTGTGTTGTCTAACATGAGTGTGAGTCCACAAAGTCCGACTAGCCTTAGCATCTATACAGGGGTTGCTTCAGCGGGAAATTGTTGATCTTAAAACATCCATGCCATGTGAATTAGGACAGCGTTAGATTGATACATGGATATAAGTTAAATGCAGATATATTGGTATGTTTGAATTTGATGGCCAATAATTATGAACATGGCTCTATTACATAGTTTGTTCTCCAGAAACAGTGACAGTTGTTGTAAACACAACATTGACATATCATCACCTTTTAAGGTGATTATGGTGAACTTTTTTTTAACACATCCAGTAGTTACTCGACGGAGAAATATTAGCATTCTTTTGGAGTTGTGTGTCTGGCCACCTGTCGAATATAAGTCCAATATTCACTCCCTTTTAGCTCCCTTTTTGGTCTCTACCAACTCCTGAGGGAAATATGTGTCTCTCTTGCTGTAATTGATTTACATATTTTTCCACATGAACTAGAAAAAAAAACTAGGCCACTGACTTACCTGTCATTCAATTAAAAGTCTACATAGTACACATGGTTGCCTGTTCACCTTGTAGGGATTTTGTTTAGCGCTATCTCTAACATCTAATCTGCATCACTGAAATGCATGAGCATGCATGCAGATGAACTAGTGCACAACACCTCATTTACAGGATCACTAAACTCTACAGAGACGTCTCTCACTCTCACATGACAATCAGGGCTTGTGTAGTGTTGAGATGGTCGCCTCTGACAGTGTGGCTCCTTTCTCGTGCCTGTGTGTCAAATGGGATGACTCGGATAGATGCAGGGACTAACTGAGATGCTCCCAGCCCAGACTCCATGCACAACAACCAGGCCTTTTGTCCCTGATTTGCCCCCATCCACCCACACAGTGCTCATAACGTCATGGAGAAAGAGCGTCTTTATCTTTGCTTTCCAAAGACTCATCTCACTCACATATTTTAGGCTCAGTCCAAAAAGACAGCAGCTTAAACAGGCTAATGCGACAATATGCCTACAGTAACGCTGTGCTCACCCACACAGGGGTTTGACATTGAGACGCTTTCGTTTGCACACGTAAGACTAAACAGATGTACTTCAATCATTTACTTTTTTGTTTATTTCCAGTGAGCAGGAGGTTTCAGGGATGTGTCAGACCTCAGCAGGTTAAATATTGTACATTCTCTCCTGTGCAGCTCCTCAGGGTGTATGTGTTGTTTCTTTGTGTCGAACACGGCTGAGCCCTTTTTTTTTTTCTTCTTTTTTTTCTTTTTTTTTTTGACCATGCTCAAGTGGGTGCTCAGCTGTGGCAGGAGGGAGGGGATAGAAGGGGCTGGCCAGAGGCTTGCCAAATCGGATGAGAGAGCAATTGGGAAGAGATAGCACAGAAAGTGAGAGAGGAGAGGCCGGCAAGAGAAGAGGGAGAACGAAAGAAAGAGAGCAAACCAGGGTGGGTGGAGGAGATAGAAGAGAGAGTGACAGAGTGTAGCGTGTGTTACAGGAAAAAGAGAGAGACTCAGAGAGAACGAAAGGAGAGAGAGTGGGTGAGGCTGATATAAAAGGATAAAGGCGGGGTTGTGGTTTTTGTCACATGATCCCCATGCAGGCTGTAGTCTAGTGAGCTCCAGGTGGCAGAGAGACCACAGATACAGTAGATACAGAGAGAAAGAGAAGGAGGGAGCGGGACACACTAGCAAGGCTCACCACAAAGACAACAGAAATTCCTCATTTACTCCCTCCCTCCTTACACCCATCTGTGTGCACTCTTTTCTCTCTGTCCTTCAGGAATTCTTCCCAGTCCCGTTTGCCCCCGCTCCTCTCCCGCTCTTCTCCACTCCCGGCCCCAGCAGGCCAGGGAATGTCCCGGCGGCGAGATGCCTTACGTGGACCGACAGAACCGCATCTGCGGCTTCCTGGACATCGAGGAGAATGAGAGCAGTGGCAAGTTCCTGCGCCGTTACTTCATATTGGACACACAGCAGGGAAGCCTGGTGTGGTTCATGGACAACCCACAGGTAATTACACATGGCTGCGTTAGCTTAACTCTTAGCTGTGTTTTGGGGGAAAAAATCCTGCAGGTAACTGCACAGGCAAATTTGTTGATGTGATATTGTACAATTTACAGGGAACGGTCTGGCAGCTAACATGAGTTATCCATGTGGATGGTCAGCCTTCATGCAGTTGTAGGCTAACTGCAGGCCACTTTTAGCTAGGCTGTCTTCATTCACTTTGAACACAAAGCAAAGTACAGGCAGTTTCACCACCACACAGCCATGCAAGGATGGGAGAACTTATGCTATCCTGGTTTACAGCAGTTAGGAAGTGCATATTACAGGCACAGGAGTATTGCTAACAGTGTGTCTGTGTTTCAGCTATCAGCAGATATTGCTGTAAATGGGTTAGAATAAGGATAAAATGAATTCATAGTTTAACTCTAAACCAGGGATTAGTTTTTTGTATTCTAAACATTGTGTCCATGTAGTGAGCACTGATATTTGCAGGGAGCACAGTGGTCAACATTTTCTGCTCTATGACCCACGGTGTCACAGTTTTTACAGTGTAACTCTCCCCTTGGTTTGTACATCATGCTGGTTTGGAGATGCTGTATTTGTAAGTGTGCTGTTACATGAAGTATTCATAAATGATGTAGTGCAGGAGGAATTTTAAATAATTCAGTAAGTCCCTTTCTTTTTATAGATTGAAAAAGGTTAAATTTTAATGATGTTAAATCTGGATCCCCTAGTTTCAGAAACACAGCAAGACACTGAAATTAACAATCATGGAATGAAGCCAAAATATACTGTACTTACTCTATAACATTGACTCGCTTTTCAGAACTTGAATTCACCCCTCCACCACACTTTTTGTCAGTAATCTACAGCTAAGACCCCGTCCTGAATAGAATGATGAATGATCAGTTTTAGTTTTCTCTTTTTGCATATTTTGTTCTTTTTACCTTTTTCTGACAGAACCTGCCTGTTGGAGCAGACTGCGTGGGTTCCCTCAAGCTCACCTACATCTCTAAGGTACACAGAACTTTTACCACTGAAGCTTATCTGACACTAACATGATAAGATTATGTATAAATAGATTTAGTTTACAGTATTTGGTTGAACTGGGAAGCTAACAGTTGTGAGCTTTGTCCTCCTCTAGGTCAGCGATGCCACCAAGCTGAGGCCTAAGGCAGAATTCTGCTTTGGTAAGAAAACACTGATCATCACAGTCTTAGCTATGTCTTATTAAATTCTTAGCATTAAAATACTAATTTTATAGTTTACTGAAGGAGCAGTGTCATAGAAATATATAGATCTATCTCGAAATATACATAATTTTCTCTAACCTTTTAGTGTTGTTTTTCTGTACTGACATGGGTCTTGGACAATATGGTTGACAGCATGAATCATTTTAAAGAAATTCACATCATGTATAGAACCTAAAAATACCTACAGTGCTTTGCAAACATGAGCAATGAGTGTGTGATTTATCATACGTTGACTGAGCTGAGTACTATAACCTAAGGGGAGAATGTCCTTGTCTGCCCTCTAGACTTGGTCAAGCACTACTCTCAACATACTTTCTCCACCATTGACCAGGCAGCTTTGTTCAACATGTCTGTTTAGCCAACACACAGAGATGCAGGAGATGGCAGCAGTTGATGATCTGGGCTTGTGTTCATTAGGTGTAACTATTAAAGGCTTGTTTGTGCCTTTCATATTTCATAACTTTAATCAATAAGATGGTTGTGTTGGCACCTGATAAGTTTTCTCGGGTCATATTTGTAGGTCTAATAAATTCAGAGGATCAGCAATTAGACATTTCTCCCAACAGTCCTGTTTTTATAATTGTCTTCCAAACCTTCATTGTTTACACCAGCTTCTTCTTCTGTCACGCTGGTTCATTGCTTGCTTTTAAGGCACGTTGCCTCCACCAACTATTGATAAGTATTACTGTTCTCTGTGGTTGGCTTAACTATTTACTTATCCACTTCTGCACAGTGCCACCAGTGGTCAAACAGTCCACAGTTTACCTTTAAGAGGGCAGAGGGCAGGACACTTTAAGAACTTCAGGACTTGAGAATTATATTAAAAGTATTTCTCAACTTAGATTAAATAAATTCACCATTTGAAACATAGATTGCATTTTTCAAGTAAGCAAACTCGTTTATTCATTTAAACACACATGCATGTTCAATAACGAAATCCAAAAAAATGAGTTCCTTATTTTTTCATCGCCTGATATCCTACTAGTAAATATTTTGTATGTATGTTGACTTGATTTGTCCTTTTCTTCTCACCCCGTGTGTTTGAGACAGGAATAAAAAATGTTGCATAAATATGAACCATCATCAGGTTATGTAGCAGTAAACCTCCATTCCCTGTTATTGTTTACTAGCCCTGCTCCTCCTCTTCCATCTGCTTCAATAGCAGGAAATACAAGTGTGTAACAAGACGCTGACCACAGTGTGTGTTTGTGTCTGGTTGTGTGTGCGCACCAGTTGCCTTGCAGAGGTTGCGACAGGATGCCGGCATCCTAATCGGAACCTGATTCTGATTAAGTTATTTTTAAACTGCCGTTTGTGTGCCACATGTTTTGCTGATATCTACAAATCACCCCCCCCCCCCAACCCCCTTCCTGCATCTAGCAACTTAACATAGGGGGAAGGAGTATTTAGAGAAGTTAGGTACTGGCCATCACACTAACAGATCTTTTTACAGCGAGAAACTAGAACCTGATTACAGTGTGGGATTGATGTGTGGTGATGAGGGAGATCAAAAGTGCCGCATTTGTGTGAACTTTGGTGCTTGGCTGCATTTCTCAAGAGCACACATTGTTTTATTATGTGTAACTATGAGTCAGATCTGATAACCCCCTCCCTGATTTGTCATCCCAGCGCCTAAGAGACCACTACACTTACACCACTACCAAGCAGTTTTCCACTCCCAGAGATACAGTGGGCACATGAGAAGCTTAATACAGTTGGATTAAGTCATGCTGATCACCTGAATGAGACCAGACAGACAGATTTATTTACAGGGAAGTTGAAAAAAAGAGCGTGAGGTCTTGCATGTGTCTAAGAGCTGGACCAAACGCACAAGAACAAGGAAGAATGATCTTCATTGTGCCACAGAGTTTGAGCTCTCAGTGCATTTTACAGCTCGCCCCCGCCAGATTTACCAGTCCAGCTTTAATGTAATTTATTCCCATGGTGTCGAAAGGAAACAGAGGAGACACAAGGACGGTTTGAGCTGCAGAATTCAAGGATTTATGGTAGAGAGAGAGAGAGAGAGAGAGAGAGAGAGAGAATGAGAGACTTGAGTTCTTTCAGCTCCCAAATCCTGATCCATAGCTAATCAGCATTTGACCCAAAAATTTCTTTGTGATTGAAAATGGGGTTTGCTCATGTTCACATGGGTGTGAAAATGTGCGAGAAAATTTGGTGGTTGGGAGCTATGGGGTTTTTCCTTCCCCGTCATGGTCAGAAGTGGGTAGGTGGTGGCAGACTGAGGCAGCTGAATCGAGCTGGGTCATCATCCACATGGAGAGAAAATGCTGCTGGTAGTGTGTGGGAGAGTCCCTTGGCTCAGTTGTTTTTCAGTTACAGAGAAATCTGTGGCAGTGGATCTGTTCTCCTGCCGCTCGTATTCACATCATATTTTCTATACAAGAAAAGCCACAAGCGCAGTTAGTCAGTACAGCTTTGTACTAGTAGTGTCATATGCATGTGATTCATATTAAACAGAATGAATCAGACGGTGTAGTGAAGAGAATGTGGTCTCACACTGACTGAAAAGGTCTGAATATACTTTCACTCTTTCTATTCCCATCACTTTTTTTTTTTTTTATGATCTATTAGTCATCAATGCAGGGATGAGGAAGTTCTTCCTGCAGGCCAATGATCAGCAGGACCTCGTGGACTGGGTCAACGCTCTCAATAAAGCCACTAAAATCACTGTGAGACAAACACATACACATTGTGCACAGATAAACACAAGTTTATCCCAGATTCAGCTGCAATCATCTGTTCTTTTTGGCTCATGTTTTATCACTTGGAGGAACTTTTATTTCTTCCTCTTCTGGAGAAATGAATGAGTGGACTGTCAAGAAACAAGACTAGAGTGAGTCAGAGCATGACTAACAGGATGCTGTATTGTTACCCTGAGTACTGGGATAAAGGACTGTTTCCTTTGTTCTCCATGAAGCTTTAACCATCCAGAAAGGAAAGGGATATAAAATGTGTTAAAGGCTTGTCAACTTCTGCATTCATAGAAGTCCTACTACATCCTACTACAAAAATACGACTACAAAATTCCACAAAATGTCTATTTCTGTTTAATATATGCGTTTAATGAATAACTGTCTTCAGTCCTTTGAAGTCTGATGTGTTTGTGTGTTCCTAAGGTGCCAAAGGCGTCTGATGGCCAGCAGAATTCAGAGAACCAGAAGGTTTTGCCAGATGTTGCGGCAACCAAGAAACAAGTCTCCTATAAGACAGAGATCATAGGAGGAGTCCCCATCGTCACCCAGACACAGGTAAACATAACCCTCACACTACTGTCACACACAACACTGAAAAACTACTGTTACCTGGAAGTTGCATAGATAATATAGGTCTAACTTATAGACTCAGTCTAACTCAGACTCTAGAAAATCTGTTTGTTTGTTTTTTGAAATGTTGTTGGAACTTGCAATTACGATATTTCCGTCGTCACTCTTCCCCCAGCGTGAAGGTGCTGACGGTGCAGACAGAGCAGAGCGTGAGGCCATGCATCGGTCTCACAGCCAGCTGCCGTACTTCCTGGGCAGGCCGGCTCAGGAGCACACCGTCATTAAGTCGGGCTACTGCGTCAAGCAAGGAGCTGTGGTGAGTACCTGCCACTCTCATGGTTCCCTGTTGGGCTGAGGTGGTTTCACTTTGCCTTCTGGTGTCATTAAGAGATGTTTCACATGAGGTATGTCGTGGAGGCCAGAATGACAGGCTTTTCCTCACTGTGGACATACAATACAATTTACGATTAATGTCACAGTTATAATGAAGATGACATCCATAAAAGTAAGTAGCTCCTTCATGTGAGAGGGAGTATTAAGTCTTATGACTTGGGGAATGTGAGATGATGAGATTTCAGCTTGATAATGGTAAAGAAATTGGTTGCCTAAGGAAATACAAATTCTCCAGTGTGTACAAATCTGTACTTTATAAATGTCCAAGTATTAATGGACTCCTCTCTCCCCTCTCTATATATATACATTGTAAATTGTGTCGGAACTAGAAAAAACATTGCTTTCATTATTGTGGCAAACTGACAACTTTGACAGATCTTGTGTTGCCAGAAAATTAAACAAAAGCTCTGAACATCTTTTCCCCCAGATGAGGAACTGGAAACGGCGATATTTCCTCCTGGAAGAAAATTCAATGAGTTACTTCAAGTCTGATTTGGTAATTATCTTTGATTTAGTTATGTGAAGCCTTCAAGGAATGTTTTTATTGATGGTGCACGTGGATTGGATTCACCCCCACAGTCTGAGGCAGAGTAACAGCAAACACACAGCCCTGACTTCTAACATGTTTTATCCACAGTCTGTGGAATTCAATGCCCTCACTTCACATGTCCTATCATGCCCTGTTCCCCCCTGGCTTTTCTTACACACACACACACACACACACACACAGACTGTCCTCAGGACAATACTGCACGTCCCATTCCCCGTACTTGGCAGAGTCTGCCCTTATTTGACAGTTTTATCTGTCTATTTGGCTATCAACAGGCCCCAAGGACACAGACTCTCTGTCTGCTGTATCAAATAGCCAGGTCAAGAAAGTTACAAACCTTCAGGGTTTTTAGTTTGCAGTCTACTGCTTCTAGCAAAGTTCACTTCAATTCCTATGAAACATAAAAACTCAGCCTTGTTTTAATCTATTATATATTATAAAAAGCATTTGTAATATTTATCCTGTGTATTTCAGTTGTTTAGTTTTTGCTTCTTCAAATATTATGAAAAGTTATTTTCTTAACTTTAGGAGAAGGAGCCTCTGAGAATGATTCCCCTGAAGGAAGTTCACAAAGTCCAGGAGTGCAAACAGAGGTATTTAACATGTCCCAGCATTTTCCCATTGTACAAAAAGAGGATGGTGTTTACTTTTTCTGATTTAGATAAAGATGTACAGCAGATGAGATAAATATGATTTGACTTGTTGTCCACTTTTGTTGTAGTGACATTATGATGAGAGATAATCTGTTTGAAGTCGTCACCACATCAAGGACGTTTTACATACAGGTGCATCTTTTTCTATGATAAAAGGAATGTACAGTTGATTCTCATTCACACACTCTGACGTTTCTGAGGTGTTACTGTACTGCAGTGTTCATACATTCTGTACTTTCTTGCCTATTTGCATATTTCCCTTCCCACCTCTTACCTCATTCTCATTTCCTCTCTGTCTTTTTCTCTTTTCTGTTTTCTTACTGTCGTTTTCTTACACTGTTTCCACCAGGCGGACAGTCCAGAGGAGATGCACAGCTGGATCAAGGCTGTCTCTGGGGCTATTGTGGCCCAGCGGGGGCCTGGGAGGTCTGCTGCCACAGTATGTATCATGCACTACAGTTCAGCATAGAGTCACAAACCCCACATGTACCTGTGGAAAAGAGAAATGACTTCAGGCATGACTTTGTCTTACATGTGCTTAACATAAGACTTATCTTAGACTAAGACTAAGATTCACAACACATATTGTTGATATTGTGTCATTTATTGATTGTTGCTTGCAGTTTCTTGTTCACACAACAGCTCACCCAGCTGAAAGCTACATAGATGTAATGATAATCCCCTTTTACTTCATGTCAAACAGATGCAGAAACAGTAGTATGGCTGCATCACCTTGCCCTTATTGTTGCAGTTTAACAACATTAAGCCCAGCTGTTGTAGCTGTGGTTGAAAAGTCTGAAGCTAAATTCTGCTCTGTGTAGTCTACATGAGGACTTCCCAACTCCCGAGCCGAGGACTGGTGCAGGGCCTTGGGACAGTTGCTACCAAGCCATGAGGAAACGACATGATCTGGCAAAAAAAGCTCATTATGATGGAACTTAATAGGCTATTATAGGGTATTTTTTCAGTATTTGCTGTGTTTGGCACAGCCTGTCCTGCATTTTCCCACCATCCAACGACAAATACAGATGTCTTTTTAAAAGTCCTTTTTTGGCCATGTTGTGTCTTCATTAGACAACTGACAGTTGATAGATGACAGGAAATGAAGGGAGAGAGAGAATCGCGTGTAACAAAGGTCCCAGCTGGACCCGAGCTGGGGATGTTGCAGTTCATGGTTGGTGCCTTTTCCCCTGAGCCCCCAGGGCGTCCCTATACTGATTTTTTGGGGGGGGTTTTTTAAACTAAAGTAGGTCATCAGTGCACAAGATGACCAATATGCCATCACCACTTTTCAGTTTCCTGCAGTACATGAAATCTGTGTGAGTACGCTACCTGTGTCTTAGAGCTGCTTAGTTATCTCAGTCAGCAGCCTACATGCTTAGAGACAGGTAGATGGACTTGGCAGGTGTGAAGACAGAAATAAACCGGTTCCGTAGTCCCGACTGCAGAGGAAACACTGTCCTCTGCCGCAGCTGGTTCCTTCTGGTTAGACTGGAATCCTTCTCAACACGTCTCCGCTGACTGTTTCTCTACAGTTCCCTCTTTCTTGCCTCCTGTGTCTGTCTTTCTCTCGCTTGTTTTTCTCTCACCTCCTTTTTCCTCTCCTGTGCCTGTTCTCTGTATCCTCTTTTTCCCTTTCTGTCTTTCTTTGTCACATTCTCTCCACCTCCTCCTCTCCCTGTGGGCAGATGGCCCATCTGCTCTAATCCTGCTTTGCACTGTGTTGTTGCAGATGCGGCAGGCCAGACGGCTGTCGAACCCCTGTATACAGAGGTATACGTCCCGAATCGGGGAGTGCAGCAGCACGTATGTCAGCTCGTCTAAATTCCCCCTTTAAACTATAAGTTCATCTTTTTTAATACTGTTTTCCACTCACTGGCTGGCCCTTTGTGGTTGTAGACATTGTGAGGGCAGATCAGATCTGACGGCACATCTGATGCTCTATTTTTTTCTTTTTCTTTTTTTTTTTTTGCTAAGAACCAACCACACCCTACGTATGGCTGTGATAACCCAACAAGCGCTCCTCCCTTCACGCCCTCGTCCGCACTGCTTCTCTCATCCACTTCTCCTCCTTTGCTTTTCTTTTCCCCTGCTGAACTGTCACTTTAAGCTCAGTTCAAAGTTTACATCCATTGCATTCAGATAGTTTCCAGCAAAACAGGTATAAAAAGATCTTGTGTCAGGAATTGAAAGGCTCAAGGTGTGCTTAATTTAGCTTCTCTTGCATGTGATGACTGTCACCACAAACATGGCAACTCAAGTCAAGCACACCTCAAGTCTTTCAAATGCTAAAAAGTAAAGTAAAGGTACAGAATCGCTCTAAACGGTTGGAATATGACAATCTAACTATTGGAAAGACCTGCAGCCACTGCCTCCCTCCTCCCTCTCTCCCTCCCTCCCTTATGGCTTCACTTTCACAGCTTTCACATGTCTTCACCATTATTGATGACGCTTCGGTGTAAAAATATACATGAGTTGATGAACAATCCATGCACGAACACACACACTGCTTAAACTACGCTGCCAGCGTAGCTATGAATACCGTAAGCCTGTTTCTATCTCTGTCTTTATTACTGGGTACATGTGTCTTTCACACCTTCTGTTTCTCTTCCCTTCATGCCCTGTTATCTCTGCAGTCTGCTGCAGCTGTGTACCTGTCTTAGATGTGTGACATCCTGCTTGTCTCTCCTCCTCCCTCCTGTTCGCTGCCTGTATGTTTTTTTTCTCTCTTTCTCATATACACAATAATAATGTTTCCATGTTGACTTCCTATACTTTCTATGTGCTAAATGTTGAACATTTTAACAGCTTTGAAATGAGAACTTACCAGTGCTGAATCCACACGTCTAGAGTCACAAACTATAGGTTTTCATGGTGGTCTGTTGATTTACATGCAAATATTTTTAAGTCATCAGTGTGATCAGATTATCTGGTGATCTGTCTAACAGCTCCTAAAACTCAGCACAGGCCAGATTTTGGACCTTTGGATTCAGCATAAATGTGTTTACACGTGTGGCTCCCCCCAGGATATTTTGACATGTTTGTGTAAGGAATTTTAAATCTTAAATCTTGTGATGCTTAAGTGACACTGATTGATTTTACTGATCATAAATTTCACAAGCCTGCAAAGTCCCAGCATGTCACTCTGTCACGGTCACATCATGTAGGAGAAACTGTGGAAATACAGAACCTGAAAGTTGACAGAGATATTTGTATTGTGGTCTCTCTCTTTATGTCTGGGATTTTTCTCTAACCGACATTTCACCAACTACTCGGTGGCTACCCCCTTTTTTTTGTTTTCACTACCTCTGCTGTTTTTTTTCTTCTTCCCATGCTTCTGCTTTGTGTTTCAGAGATTGAAATCTGACAATGAAAAGCTGTGAAATAATGAGCAACAACCAACCACTGCTTCCTAAGACACTCTGCTCTTCCACTACAACCTGTTGAGACTACCAAAACTAAAACCTGCTGACACTACTACCACTACTCCCGTTACCTCTACTTCTGCTACTACTACTACTACTTCTTCTTCTACTGCTACTACCACCATCTCCACTCTCTAGCAATGCTACATTCTTCAGCACCTACAGCCTTCAAGCTGCGTCAGGCCCCTCATGTTGGTGCTAATTCCAAGTCTGTAACTCACCTCTCAAATGAACTATACATATCAGGATGTCACTGTAGTTACTAACACCCACTTGTCTTGTTTCCCTCATTCTTGCTCTCTCTGTGTCATCCACTGTTTCCGCTGCAGGAACACGGCAGCCGTTCCACTTTCTACCGCAGCCCCTCGGGCCCCCCCGTCCCTCGCTCGCCCATATCTGCCATGCCACCATGCTACCCAGAGTGGGGGGCTGCTGTCACGTGCGGCACACGCTCGCAGCCTGGCGTGGGACAGCGAGCACTTCATGAGCCTGCTGCCACGGCCCAGTCACAGCCACACGCCAGCACGCCTGTCCCTGCAGGAGACGCGTCTGGCAAAGTGACCTGCGAACCACCTGTGACCACCATCACCAACTCGGAGGAGTCACCGTGGCGACGGCGGAGCAGCTTTGAGCCCTACATGCCTGAACCACCCCTGGACCTGGATGACGCTGACCTGCCAGTGAGTGAGGTCTGAGCCGTTGACACTTGTTTGTCTAGATGGATGTTGACAGAGATGCCATGGATAAAGAGGAAATCATGCCCAACAGGTGTTCACAAAAGGGCAGGCATTGGTTTTCAAACCGAAGCTGTTGGCAGATGACGGTGCACAACATCTCAAACTCATCTTTTGAGCTCCTCCGTCAGTGCTGTCAGTGTGCAAAAGAAACAAGTTGGGTCACCACTGAACTGCACACGTGTGCCAAAGACGACCCGGTCTTCACCCACACCCCTCTGCCTGCGTGCTGTCGAATTTGCAATGGCATATTTATTTACTATGAGTTGATGTTGTCAAACAAAACTACAAATTTTTAGTTTACTTGTGCTGATTAGATTTCAGTGACAGAGCTTTATTTTAACCTGTACAGGCACAGAGATGCGTTCAATGGTATTTGTGGGCAGAGCATTTTTGTAAACCACTTTGTTCCAAAAAAATAAGGGAGCTTTTAATGATGCAAGGTGTTTCCTCATATATGAAAAGAGTGTCCAAACTGAGGGCTGGCTTTTCATCACCTCAATATAATCTAATTTAAACAGTGTGGTCCATTCACACACTCACTATTCTAACACTGGATTTGTCTACTATTGTTGGCCGGTGTTAGGGATATAGGTCAAGCCTAGTCTGACATCAAACCCTCACTCTAATGCAAATAAATACAATAATTCAAACATTCTGGACTGGTCTAGGACCAGATGCAAAAAATTGGAAATATGTGTGTGTGTGTGTATATATATGTGATCCAGTGTGTATAATAATGCAAGACCAAATGTATTCCAGCAACATCTAGTATGATTTTTTAGTTGCCAAGCCTTTGACTTAAACTACATTTATTTTTGAATACATAGGAGGGTTATGGTCAATTGTTTGATTTTACAATGCCGTTTTCAGTGACTGTTATTGACCACGAGCTGAATTAACTTACATTTTAATGTACAGTTTTTACAGTTATTCCACCTCTGGCAGTAAAGTGAGAGTACTGTGCAGAGGCGCAAAAGAAAAACAAAAATTTGAAAGCTGTCACAGTACATGCATCACTTCACAACCTGAATCAGTGTCTTTGCAAACTACATTCAGCATACCAGACTTTGTGGACTCACATTTGTGACACTGGATGACGTGGGAAAGGAGCAACAGCGTTATAAGTAAACAAGAAGTGCAAGACATAAGCTTGTATGCTTTTTTGTAATTCATAGTAATAAAAACTTCAGCAACAGGTCAGTTATAAATAAGCTTCATGTCCTGACAGACTGGGTTCTAACAGTTTCACATTATGAACTAAACCTGCAGATCATTGTTTGAAGATGATTAGTCTGTGTGAACACCATGCAAACATTTTGGAACATGATTTAACAGAAAAAACATTCAAGCTCAGACACTTAACATGTTAACATGTTAATGATTCCTCAGATTGTCTTTCTGGTTTTAGTTTTGGTTTTTAGTTTATGGCTGATCCGTGTGTTGTGTGTTTGCAGAATAGAGCTGTGTGCAGCAGAATTATTTTTATATGCTTTTAGATGTTTCCTGATCTTATTCCTTTTACTTGTGTTACCATCCCAGTAGCAGGCAGTATGGTTTTATTTAAAAATCTCCCACTTTAGTCCTGCTAAATAATACACACTAATCTTTTTTTTTTTTTTTTTTTTTTAAGTGCCTGCTCCATTTCAGCCCAACAAAGCCAAGCTACTTCACCTGTGTTCAGTCTGGTGTAATTGGTTTGAATTGTTTCTATTTATTATGTGGATGACTTGAAAGAAATAAACACTGAAAACGTGCTCAGGTTTCCTGGAGTATCATTCAGTAACGTGCTAATCGTTCACCAAAGAGCACAGTCAGTCTGTTGAGATAAAAAGAGGAAAGAAATTCACCATTGTCTGCACTCATGTCTTCATGTGGTCCTTTAGTGTAACTGCTTGTTCACTCGTCACGGCTCCTTCTGCCCTCTTGTGGTGAGAGAAATACCTGCACCTGTTTCACTGAACTTCCTATGAATGATAACACAGTGCCGTATAAGTTCTGTATTTGTCAGTGACAGGATGATTTTAGTTTTAAGAGTGGAAATAGATACAAGTTGTACAAAATATCTGTAAGAATGAAGTCATGAAATGAAAAAATCAGCAGACAATACAAGACAGTAACAAAACTTAACCAAACCTTTAAAACAGCAGGCCATGTTTTTCTCTTTTTGTCCACACTTGTCCACTCAACAGATTTAAATGTGATGTGCAAATGTGCAAGTTTTTTTTATTTTATTTTGAATATTATTACTGCAATTAACAGCAGGGCACAATATGTATTATGATTTGGCAAATGTATACAAAACCACATAAAGAATCAAACAGGTCAGTGCAATGAGCTGTGTTTTAGTGCGATGCTTTGAGAGACTAAATATGTAAAAACTAAAGCAAAACATTATTGTTTGTATTGAAATTTGTTAAATGATGATGTTGAATTAGAGCTGAGCCCCAGTTAAGAGCTGGCCTTGCTCCTTCTGTTTACAAAATCATTTACTGCCAGTATCAAGAAGAATAATCTGTTTTTCTCAGTATGTACACTGATATACCACACTGAATAAAAGTACTTAATTGGTATTAAGGAAATGTACTTAAAATATCAAACGTACAAAATAAAATTAAAAAAGCTCCTGTGAATGTTATATTATTATATTACTGATGTATTCATGTGTCAGTTTACTGTTGTAGTTGGTTGACGTGGAGCTAACACTTTCGTATACTGTTGGGTGGTTAAATTTGTAATGGTACGTAATCATTTATTGTATGTTTTGGGGATAAAATCTTAATTTGCACTAGTAACTAAAGCCGTAGAATGTAATGGAAAGTTAAAAAAAAATAGAAACGTAAAATAGAGTAAAGTTTGTTTAGATTTGTTTTTCCAGGACTTGGATGAATTAGTTTCATTTTCCTTCAGCACTAACGATTGAGTCATTTACAGTATGTTTGTTTATCCTGCAGCTTCATCAGCATCAGTTACATATACAGCCTCTGGCTTGATACAGTATGTGCAGATGGATTTACACAGTGATGTCATGGAGCAACGCTGAATATGTAAAGCTTCTTTAATCAGTCCGATAAAGAGCTACAGCACAGTCTGGGCTGCAGTGTTTGTATATACAGAATATAGTGGGTACTGCATGTGTAGGCACTGGGCAGTTGATGAGGATGGTGGTGGTAAGTGATTCACAGAAAAAGCGGAAACCAACATCTATAGCTGTACAGCTGTTTGATTAACAGGCTACTGTAGCTGAGGGCTACAGTATATCTTCATTGATCTTAACTGTGGGATGTAAGACTTTGTTGTGGCTTCAGGCGTGGACATGAATTCACACACAGCTCAGACATCTTTGCGGACTTGAGTGAGGAGATCACACAGACCTCATCCATCCTTGGTTACGCTCACTGGCCTTGGTTGGAGAATGGGTGTGACTTATAGATGAGGTTGTTTTCATCTGCAGATTTTCCCATCGTTTCCCGTCTGCGTATTGCCACATAATGTAGTCTGACGATGCTGTGAGGTCATATTTAATACTGCTGTATGAGTTTCATTCATTGTCAACAGTAATCTGAACATAAATACCTCAAACAATTAGCCAAGCTTGAACTCTGGGTTACAAGTCTGAATTGTACATACTTACTGTTTCCTGTGCTGTACGAGCCAGTCCAGTCTTTGAGAGCATACGACTGCCCTCCATCCCTTTATGCCCCCTCTCTAATTGCCTTTAGGATACAGGAGCTTGTGTTACCCAGTGCTCCAGCGCACCACGTGGGGCTTCGTCCCTCGAGTCCCTCCATTCCCAGAGAGCTGCTCCCATTCACCTGGCCACTGCATTTAAACCAAGAGCCATCAAAACAGCCGTGCACCCAAAATCAATCACACTGTGCTGAGGCATTTTATGGCACTGATTCATTGCCTCCTGTGTTTACTGGACTCTTTTACAGCTCACCACAGACGTCTAACCCTAACAGAGGTTTGTTGTTTGTCCCTTAATATTGTAAATGTGTGTCATTCCAACAAACAATCAATTTAAACAGTTTTTTATGGTGTTTCCATTGAGTCTGTGGCACAAATAATTATTGAAAAAAAAAAGATTAAAATGATTTACGCTTTAGCTTGGGAGGCAATGATTATCGTTATTTGGATCTCACCATTAAATGTTGTTTATTTCCCTGCAAGCAGGGTGCTTATAACCCATAGAGCTGGGATTAGATCATAATAAATGGATAAATCATGTTCTCTTGCTATTTTCCAATTAGAACAAATTTGGCTGTTTACCAAGAGTATGCGAAAGCGCTACATTAACTCCACAAATCCCACAATCCACACAACTTTTTTCCATCACTGATTTTCCTAATTAGCCATAAGGCTTGTGTGGTGTGCCAGGAATGACTAATTCATAAGGGAGTAGTTTAAAAAAAAACACAACATAGGCCTGCAGGATGTGTGGAGGGCTGTACAGCATATGAAACATCTGGGCAGCATTTTTCTTTCCGCTACTGAGTTTTTAATTTTATATTTTTATTTGTTTGTAAATAATTAAATCACTTTCAGTGTCATTATCAGCAAACACTGACACAGCTGAAATGTCTGAGCTTTTCAGTGGTTGTCTATAAATTCCAGAGGTGTTGTGAAGTTGACCTTGACCTCTCTGAGCTCCTCCACCCTCCTTCTTCAAAAGAGTCAACAGAAAAGAGAACTTACAACTTACTTTTTTTTTTTCTAACCAAGTTCACAGCTCTTAAATAAATACAGTATATTTTACATCTGTCTACACACAAGCTCGTTTTCTGCTCTCTCTCCTCTCACGCCTCTGGAGGCAGCACGTCACGTCACGTAAACCCACCAATGACCAGGCTTGTTGTGATTATCTAGAAAGTGAGTTGCCTCTATGAAGCGGTGCCAGCAAAAACGTACAGCAGCGTAATTGGCTGCGCGGTGGAGTTTCAGTTAAATGCCTCTCCAGCTGAAGTGACTCCCCCTTCAGCACTACTGAGCTCTCTCATCCCATAACACTGCAAGCAGAGAGCGAACTTTTGGAGCTCCTCTAGACTTTCTTATTAACTTTTTAAAACGTATTTCTAGTTTGAATCATGTTTGGGTCACTGTTGTTGTGCGTAATTGTAGCCTTTGCGTCCGCGCCGGCTGTTGCGCAAATCTCAGGCCGGTATGTTATCGGATGTCCCGCGAGGTGTGACAAGTCGATGTGTCCCCGGCTGTCAGCGGACTGCCAGGCGGGACAAGCCCTCGACGCCTGCCACTGCTGCCCGGTGTGCGCGTCCGGCGAGGGCGAAGCCTGCGGCGGCAGCGGGAAGCTCGGGGACCCCGTGTGCGGAGAGGGACTGGAGTGCTCCGTCTCCGGCGGGGTGGCATACACTGTCACGGTGAGGAGGAGAAGCAAGAGCGGGATTTGCGTGTGCAAAGCCACCGACCCGGTTTGTGGAAGCGATGGGGTGTCCTACCGGAATATCTGCGAGTTGAAGAGGGTCAGCCGCCGGGCGGAGAAGCTGCAGCAGCCACCTGTTCTTTTCATTCAGCGAGGAGCCTGCGGGCAAGGTAATGCTCAGGTTGTTTTGTTCAGGACAACAGGGTCAACAAGGGCCCCAAACTTACTCAGATGCCGATCAGATTTGGTAGGGAGTTCGGTGTGACAGTCTTAAATCTGTATTTGGAAAACTTCCTGCATAGACAGTCAGCAATGTCAATTTTGACTCAAGTCTAAAATGTTTTTGTTTTTTCTTGCTCTTGAACGTGACCCCTCATATCCTCACTAGACGATTGTGGCTCGAACTACACAGATTTTGAAAACTAAAAGCTTCATTCAGTGGCACACAATCCTCATTGTGTCTGGGGTAACAAGAGCCACTGTTCAAGTGTGTTTCCTCCTTGTTCCTGCATTAATTAGACTTGATCAGAGAACCGTTTTTACTTTCTCCAGGCTGCATGAAGTCATGAGCTCTCCCCTGATGTAAAGCTGGATGTGAGCCTTTGGATTATCTCTTGCATGCATACAGTCACATGGCTATAAAGTGCTTGATTGTTTCATACAAAACAGCTCTTGCCAGGGCAGTCGAATAAACATTAGCTCGATTGAAAAGTATTTCCAAAGCCTGATAAGTATGATAAACAGTACTGAAAGTGATGCATGTGTAATAATTGGTATATGAGAGTGTTTTGAATGTGGACCTGAACTTCATCAGTTTCATGTGAAAAGTATTTCACCCTAATCAGTGGAGCTCAATAATAAACAGACGTCAGTCGTCACCTTTGCTGCTCCATGAAACAGCACAGTTACAGTTGTATAGTTAATTTAGTGAGTCATTCATTATTATTAATGTTATATATATATGTGTGTGTGTGTGTGTGTGTGTGTGTGTGTGTGTGTGTGTGATATATCTTGATTCAAACACACACTTGTGCACATGTGAAGCTACAGGTGGGAAAGACATTGTATCATTCTTCAGTTTTTTAGTGTGTGTGTGTGTGTGTGCGCATGTCTTTTATATCTGGAACAGGCAACATATATGCAACTGACAACGTCTGAATGAAGAGCTTCAGCACCTGTTACCTCAAAGACCTGTAACTTACCTCAAGGCTTGGAAACCTATTGCCCCCCATGTCCAAACAACAACCTCCCCAACTCCTTCCTATCTCTCTCTCCATTCTCTCTTTTACTGTCTCTCTTCCTCTCTGTGTCTCTGTTGTCACTCATAAATCACACTTAACAGTCAGATGGAGGAATGCCTGGCGCTGCTTCAGAGCCACGGGTCCTCCTCTGTGGAAGACAGTTTCAAACAGGCAGGAGACACAGGGGAAAGCACAAGATTAGCAACCCATATTTTTGGGAAAGGTTTACATGTACATCAAAACTGGCGTGGGCGCAGCGGTGGGGCAGACTATATTGCCACATTTGTTTGTCAGTCATGTAAGCAACTTATATGGTTAAGTCATTCCCAGGCAGCTAACCATGTCTGAACCAGAGCAGAGACTGTGGTGAGTGCTATTGATTTTCCATGGAACCCAGTTAAAATTTCCATCGCCGCAATAAAACGAGTCACATTTCATTTGGTACATCAGATGTGTCTCTGTCCACACTGTTGAAGAATAATGCTGTCTCTCCATTAAAAAAAAAACAAAAAAAACAAACTTCAGCATAAGAAGTGATCAAGGCTGTCGACTGGCAATGAAAAGAAACTGAACCCCCCCCCCCCGAGCACCTTTAGCTCCCCTGCAACTTGGCCCCATGTTTAAGAAAACATATGCAAGTACACTTTGCATGATGTCATTTCGTGTCTGGATGGTAAAGATGGTGATTATGCAAGTTGTTCATTCTGGCAAAGAAAAGTAGGTCAAATATTGCTGTGACCTTTGGGTTATATTTGTTTAAACTGACCTATTTTTTTTTTTTTTTTTTTTAAAGATGTTTTTGGCATTTTCAAGCCAATATTGAAAGTGACAGTGGAGAAGCTGACAGGAAAGCTGTTGAGGGATGGGGGTTGGAAGAGAACCAAGATGGTGTGCATCAACTAGACTACCAGGATGCCCCAAATTACCAATTTGTGACACAGAACTGTATTTACTGGCTGCTGAGACTAATAATGTGGAACCTGGGTGAATAGGTGAAAAATTGTGATCATCC